AGTGCCTTCATACTTAGATGGAATGCGACACAATGTCAGATTTAATGTGGGGAACCTGAGTGCAAACACTAGGGTTAACTCCAAAATTTACCCATTCCCCACAACTGCGAAGAACGTGTATTTTCTTCATCTGTTTTTCTCAGCCGAATCTCTATTCGTACATAGAGCCTCGGCTGAGACATCCTCTACCCGAAGACAGAGTTCTTGTCAGTCATAAGCCAGACAGTGAACTGCCTGGATCAAAGCAACAAGGTGTTTATTCAACCCCCTCTCCCACTGGGATGAGAAGTGACACAAGGTTGGAATTATTGTGGAGGACCTAAGTGCGTCCACTCGGGCCAATGGTCAAAATTTACCCATTCCCAGCAACCGCGGAGAATGAGTACTTGTCTGTTCTACTCAGCCGAGTCTCTATTTGTAGGCAGAGCCCTGACTGAGTCACCCTTTTGCCCAAAGACAGTGATCTTGTCAGTCGCAAGCCAGACTGCAAAATACTTGACTCTAAACAGCTAGGTATTTACCCATGCATCCCTACTTAGACAGGATGCGACACAAGGTCAGGCTTAATCTGGGGAACCTGAGAGCGAACACACGGGCCACCGTTTCAAAATTTACCTATTCCCCATAACTGCGGGGAACGGTACTTTCCTTGTCGAGTCTCTATCCGTAGACAGAACCTCGGCTGAGTTATCTTTTACCCAAAGATCGAGGTCTTGTCAGTCGCAATACAGACAGCGGACTGCCTTGGTCAAAACAACTAGGTATTTACCAAATTTCCTCAAAAGGCAAGATGTGGCACAAGGCCGGTTTTTACGTGGGGAGATTCCGAGCTCGTAGACTCAGGCAAAAATTCCCTGTAAACCCTGTCTGTTTTCTCTACCTCCCCAGACGAGCAATCTAGTCTAGGTTCCTCTCCGCCCGAGGAGGAGAGTTCGAAAAGTCAGTCACTATCCTGGCAGCGAACAGCCTAGGTCGAAACTACTACCCGTCTTACCTCTGACCTGGAGCACTTTATACTAATGGACTAATTCATATAGTCACCGGCGGTGTACAGTTTAGCCCACAAAAGTTTGACAGATAAATTTGTTATGTTTATGAGTTTCTTTTTTGTAGCTTTCATCTTTCTCCATAATTTTGTTTATTGATTTATATAACTGACTGATTTGTTAAAATTCTTTATGATTATTACGATTAAAATAAGAGTAAAAAAAAAAAAAAACGAACGAATTTATCTGACAAACCAATATATACATGTGTTCACAATATTTGTCAATGGTCGATTCTGAGTTTCGTAAGTCCTTCAACGTCGAAACTCATTGTCTACCGAGTTATACCTCTGGGTGATTTCCTATTCAGGCATACGAATAAGGACTTCTCTGATTGGTGGCCATGTTGCATCTCGACTACTTTTGATATTCAGAACGACGGGATATATTCTGTAGAAAGATATATATACACTCTGTTTTTGCTATACGTTTATGCCTCGAAAAAAATAAAACGACTACAAACGTCAACAAATCTTTCTTAATCATTTCCATTTTAAAGTATTAACAACCGGATCTTCGACTCCCACGACATGTCACTGTCGTCTGGAAAGTCAAAAATCACCGCAATACACCGCAACAGATGAACCCGAATTGCAAATATGATTGGTTTCATTCAAGGTCGACAATGACAGTGACTGCTTATTGCTTCTACTTCTATATCCGATAAGGATATTATGAGAGATTGGTTTGCACAAATGTTCACAAAGTTACTTCTTTTACCGTTAACCGTCCTGACGTTCTTTTGATGAAATATTTTTGTGAAGCGCTTTGGCGATGATACAGAAAGAAGAGATTTCATGTCTTTTTTTTTTTTTGCAAGTTTAGGGCAAAATTAGTATAAACAAAAGTCGACTGAATTCGAAATTGGTTGTACAATGTACAGCAACACCTATCGTGTTGAGGCTGTGACCTTATAGTCCACTGAGTGCCTACAATGATAATATACATTCTTCTTCATTTTCTTCTTCTTCTTCTTCTTCTTATTATTATTATTATTATTATTATTTCGCCCTTAACCCCAGAAGGAGACTTGGGATGCTGTCATTCTCCATCATTTGTCGCGGTAGCGTATCGGAGCCTGGGTCTCTTGAATGGTTTCTTAGAGTGCTCATCATGTATTGTCTCTTGGGCGTTTTAACCGTCAGTGCCCATCCATCTCCAGGAATACATACTATATATATATATATATATATATATATATATATTGCAAATGATTTTTCTAGATACTAGAAGAGATGGCGAATTCATAACTTTTCCAAGGGTATTTTGTGCGTAAGTAAACGGAACAAATCCGACAGGTAGATGTATTGGCCCGTCTAAAAACAATGGTGTCAGATGTAAAGGATTGCCACTTGATGCTGTAAACACTCCTAAGACTTTTTTGAGCTTTGATGTAACGGTGGGATGTGGTTCAAGTCTTAGTGCAAAAAGGTGGATAACAAACGCTTTTAACGCACTAAGCTTGTTGATGTTAGCCCTCAAGTTGACCAGATTCATTTCTGTTGTCTTCCAAAGGCTTTGCTAACTTTCTCGATCCTTAGGCGCATTTAGGTGTTAAGAGAGTTGTCCCTGGAGAGCATGCTGACAAGGTAGACGAATGTATTCAGTGAATCCAATACGCTGGATTCAATATAAACGTGAACCGGACAGCGTGGAAGCATTAGCCTATTTTTTTCTTGTTTTGTTTCGTTTTTTGTTAGACCAAACGTAAACCTAAAAACAGGCCATACTCTCGAAAACACATCTATAGATGCTCGTATATCGTCCTTGGTATGAGCAATGAGAACACTTGTTTCTATCAATATATATATATATATATATATATATATATATATATATATATATATATATATATATATTTTGTAAATATACATATATAGTCGAAAGTCCCACTCGGATTTTGATGCAAACATATAATCTTCAGGTGCATGAAACTGCAAGTCGTGCTAACGATGTGGGATATTATGTATATTCACTAATATATACTTAATAGGTCTGCTATATAAATTTGATCACTGTTTTTATAACACCTCAGAAAATATATATATGTACGTGCAAGTATATGTGAGTATACGTATGTTTTATGATACCCATATATATCTATACACGCATACACACATACGCACAACACACACACACGCACATACCACACACACACACACACATATATATACATTAACCAGTAAAAAAAGGCTTAGACAGAAGCGTCTATCTTTTTAAATTTGCATTTTTTAAATGTAACTCTAACAACAAAAACATTTCGATTTCATTTTTGCCTTGAAAAATTCGGAAGACGAAACGCGTCGGTAAAATCTAAGATTCTTTTCAATTGTCATTTTATACCATATATATATATATATATATATATATATATATATATATATATATATATATATATATTGATAGAAGAAGTCTCATTCCTCACAACAAGGATGATACACAAGCACCTATAGATCTGTTTCCTGTCGCCTCTGGGTGATTACTTCAATGCCCACTTATATATATTTATATATATATATATGTATATATATATATAACACTATACTAAAATCTTTATTTGAGTGGATACTCGTTTTTAGAATAGAAGCCCCATTTTTATTTTTACACTAAGCAGTGTGTATTTCGCCTATCTGTCTGGGTATTCAAGAAATAAAAAAGTATGTTCCCCGGCAGGAATCGAATCATTGTTCCCAGTTTTAGAAGAAATCACCATTTGATCTAGCGTGCTTTACCATTTGGCTACAGACAGCGTCACAGCTCAGCAAGCCTTTGTTTCCCTTGGAAGGAAAGCACACTTCCTCACTTCGATATTTTTCGCTCAGTTTCGTATCCATAAACATATATACATACAGGGACACAAACACACATACACACACATATACACATACACACACATATACACATACACACACATACACACACACACACACACATATATATATATATATATATATATATAATTGCTGATATCCTCTGACGAGTGATTACTGGAGGGCCCGTCTACTAATCTCTAAAGACGGGATGCTGAAAGTAACAATCAGCTTAGTGACAAATTTATACATACATACATATATATATATATATATATATATATATATATATATATATATATATATTTTTTTATTATTTTTATACATATTTTTTTGAAATATTTGAAAAAAACAAATTTAAAATTCGAAACCTTAAATTTTAATTAAAAACTCTTTACTCCTTAATTATTATTAATAATTTTGATAATTGTAACATTGTTTATCTATATTATATTCACACTATATTTTGTTCCTAGCTTAGTTACATCAAGTTAAAACTACCCTTCAAAAGTGAGTAAAAACTATATGTAAATTTAAAACATTTTTTCACCCTTGGAAGTACGGTCTGATGAACCAGGTAAAAATCATACAGCTGGGGAAATAAATTATAACCCTTAAGGTTGTCTGTTTTCTATTTGAATATATATATATATATATATATATAATTGGTAATGCTAATAATACTATTAAACGTTTCCTTAAAAGAACTCATATTGCTCTTTCCAGTATTGATGGGGGTTACCCTCCTAACTTTTTGTTTGAAGTGTGGAATCTCAACATTTTGATTATTTGATTATTTTCTTTTCGAGTAACATGTGTTATCCATTTTAGTTGTTGCTGCTGTTGAATGTCCTCAAATGATATGGTTTCTGAATGTATCTATGCCTAGATATACGCATACATAAATGTGTACATTGAAAACTTTTGCGCAATTCTGCATTTTATGGGGAAATGTATTTTTCTGGTGTTAATCCATAAATGCGTATTTGAGAAAGTCTCATAAGGAGAGCGAGATCTGATCACGCAGGTGCATGCATATGTGAAGACTGGCTCCCGAGAATACCCGAAATAGAAATGCTACACACACACACACATATATATATATATATATATATATATATATATATATATATATATATATATATCAGTCTGTAAATAGAGATAGATTTGAAGTGAAAGAGATAGATAGATAGATAGATAGATAGATAGATAGATAGATAGATAGATAGATAGATAGATAGATCACTTAACCTAACACCTCGCTCAAACATATCTCAGGCCTGTTGTCGCTACACTTGCTAATAGTTCATGCAGGTCATAGAAAGGGAGGTAACGAGTAGAGTCCATACGACATTGGGTTAATTCTACAACCTTCCAGATAGGTATTTGCACACATTTACACGTACACACATACACACATTCAAACGCACACACATACGTTTTTACAGATATAATAATTCCAATAAAAAGGACATATTTAATTTTTTTAATCTAATTTTCACGGTGTTCTTTTCTGTTGTTTGCTTTTAATCTCTCCGTTTTTATTGCAGTGTTTTAATAATCATTTCACCCCAACCAAGGCAATAAGGCTACGAAGACGCAAGCGGTATGGAAGAGAATGGGAAAGAGAAAAGATTGGGTATAGAGGGGACCGAGCTAAGGAGAAAAGCTGAACGCATATTCCTCGACATTTTCCTTACAAATGGCTACCCTGAAAGTGTTATTATGAGTAACATTAAACTTAAAATTTCCAAGTTTAATGATATTAATACATTTGGTCCCCCAGAGTGTTCTGTTTATATCAAACTACCATGGATTGAACCTCGTAGTCAATTTTTGGCCGATAGGATCTCATCATCTGTAATGAACTGTTTTGATTCTATTGTAGTACCTACCATCTTCTCTATCAGTGCGTTATGCTCTGTCCGTAAAGACATTTTGTACACCCTTAATTATCCGCGCTAGAATAGTACCTTGAACATTATCCCCTCTGCATGGGAAAATACGCGGATAATAGCGAACTATATAGTAGATATTTTCAAAATTTCTCACCTATTTTAAAAGTATAATTAAAATCTAAAAAAATCTTGAATTTTTTCTTGTTTTTGATGAAAAGAAAACAAATTTTCATTAATGATGACATGGAACTGGGCAGTTGCAAAGTCATTTTTAAATGGAAGCCCATTTGATGATAGAAGTGAAGCAATTCCCCCCATTAAGAAATATATTTGATTTATCTGGCAATCTAATTGTAAAAATGGAAAGAATCAGGCAGAAATATTTCAGTCGTCAATGGACGAGTTAAGTCGATTTATTAATTTGAATTTCGAACTTAGATTCAGATTTTAATTTTTTACGGATATGTAAATTGATTCATATTTTAGTATTGTCAAAATACTATTATTGTTAAAATGATCTCTATCTATCTATCTATCTATCTATATATATATATATATATATATATATATATATATATATATATATAACAAATAAATAAATCAATTTCCACACCTAGAGAAGGTACCCTAATGTACAAAATTAATAATAAATCCAGACGCATCCCTCTAGTAACTACTTTCAACAACACTCTTTCTCCACTATCTCAGATAAGCAAAAGACGCTGGGAAATACTACATCTCAAACTAGACCTAAAAAATTTTGTTTAACTAACCCGGTCTTCTAGCATATCGTAGACCTAAGAACCTTAAGGAAATTATAGGTAATAATCAAATTTCAGATGATAAGGTAATCCGTAATAGACCAAAAATAAAAACAACATTATTTTCCCAACCATGTAACAACAAACGGAGCTCATGTTGTAACCACATGAGACACGCCAATTCGTTCACTAAATCTACTTTCAAAATCTACCACAACTCTGACTGTAGAAGTCATAATATTATTTACCTATTAGAATGCACACTAGGCAATAAAAAAAATGTGGGAAAATCTGAATGGCTCTTTCAGTACAGAATTAATAATTATCGTAAGTGGATCAAGTCGGCTCCCCACGAATGATTATTACATGTAGAACAACATTTCCGCCAAGAAAAACATGATTTAAAAGTTCCGCAAAATTCACTATAGAAATAGACAGAAAAAATAACATAACAAAAATTCTAGCGGTACATGGAGACAAATAGATTTTGCGCCTCAAAACACTTCGTCCACAAATTTAATAACATAGATGAAATTAATATATAACCCCGTAAATCTAGCTCTAACCACATTTCTCACCCACCCAAGGCATACATGATTGCAGAAGTGTTGAGGTCTCACACTTATACACACGCCCATACTAATAATACACTTACACACTTCATACAAAGAACTAAATAATACCACACACATCTCCATCCCAGCATCGAATAAAACTTAAAATGACTAAGAAGGGAATTCTGAGTCGTATGAATCTCCCCAGCCTTTATCTTAAAAACAACTTAAAAGAGGCCGTTTGACCAACACAAGGACTGACCAAAATTAATGATAAAAAAAACAAACAAATGAAAACTACAGATAAAGTTCATTTTCTTCAGAAAGTCATTCATTCCTGTAGTTCGCTGCTACTAACAAGCAGATTTTTTCTCCTGATGATGGCCATGCTAGCCGAAACTAGTCATGGAATTTAATTGAAATAATAAAACAAAAAATATTAATATACAACCCAATGTGACTGAAAATTTTCATGTTTTTAATTTTTTAATATCTGTTATTGTTCAACACACACACACACACACACACACAC